ATGGTAACTCACGTTGCTCCTCCCCCAAAATGTTGATTTCTTTGCATTAAGACTGGAGCCTTTAGCTTTACCAATTGGCTTCTCGGTAGAAGATTCAAGCCCAGGCGAAGATACAGGATGGCCAGGATCCATCGAAGACAGGATCTCACCCATTGATTGGTAAGATTCACCAGTAGGTAGCACACTTGGGACATTTGTCTCATCAATTTTATTTCCTTTATTCTGCTTACCTTGTTCCTCCAGCTGAGCATCGGGATCTCTCATCCTTGGAGGATCCACACCTAAGCTTGAACTCTCAGCACGAGTATTATTGTCTCTAGGGGATTCAACATCTGAACCATCAGCCTCAAATGCCTGTACAAAAAAAGGATGAACGTGCCAATAAGCTAGAGGGATCATCAATCAAGTTCTGCAACTCTTTTGAGTATGAAGGAATGTACAAATCATTGTTAAACTTAGCATCAACATAGTGAACAAAGTCTACATGGATGATTGAATGGACAACCTACAACACAAAAACAAGAAGGTTTCAATCATTCGATCTCAATCTCTTATAAAGCTATAGCCTAGTGTGCAGCAGTAACCTTAAACTAATGGGAAACATCTGTAAAAGCATGCTTATTATAGGATACTTGGAATGAAAATTTTGCTTTATTACATACGATTTTAAACTCAACTCTTTTCTTTTTCCTTCTTGTGGCTGCAAATTATTCAATGGATTTGAGCACAAAATGACACTATCTACATTCTACTCTGGTTCTCCTAATTACTCATCACTACTTCATAAAATGCAGATCGACCTCTTTTTCATTTTATGCTGTTTATATTACCATTAAATGAAAAAACCCATCTCAAATACACATTTAAACTGAAATAACTCAAATTCTATGAAATAGTATGGTCTACCAAGAATATCCTTCAGATGTAAATATGAGCCTAAATCTTCTAGTTCGCAGGACACGACTGTTATAGTTAAACAATCACAATGACAACACTCTGAAAGAATCAAAACATATAATGTACAACAGCAGAGCATGCGCAAAAGAGCAAGGAAATGGACTGTTGTTACATATGAAGCCTTTCAACCTCTCACATTTAACACGAGTACTATTCCAACAATTAAAAGAATCTTTGTCAGTTAATTAATCATGCAAAATTTGGGAGAGCAAAAAATGAGTGAGAGAGAGAAAAACGTAGAGAGAGAGAATTTTAAAAAAAAGTCAGTTCCCGATGAGTGTTGGTCGGCGTTTATCGACAACCTGAGTAGGAGGGTTTCTCGTCATACTCTTAAGGAATTATTCTTAGTCCATGGTCCGGTTATGAGAGTTTTCATTCCCAATCAAATTAGAAATCCTAAGTACAGATTTTCCACCTTTGCTTTTGTTCATTTTAAGAGGGAGGAAGATTTAAGGAGGGTTGTTGATGAGTTAAACGGGGTTGTGATTGATGGAAGGAAGATCTTAGTTAGTCCTGCCATATTTAAGGATGATCGTTCAAGGTAAAGGGTGGTGCATACTTCTTCAAACGAGGCTTCTGGTCAGATTAATGCAGATTCTTCGAAATCAAGAGAAAGAGAAAATATTATCAGAAGTAGAAGGGACGATAGAACTTATAGGGATGCTCTGATGTCAAATGGGATTACAAGGGGGTACAAAGAACTATTGTCTGAGGATGTCCAAAGGAGGAATGTCAAGAAAAACATTATGGAGATGCATATTCCATCAGAAAGTGCCAATTGGGTGAAGAGGTCGTTAACAGGGATTATCAAATACTCGTTTCAAGTTGAGTTCATTCGGAATGCCTTATTTAAGGAAGGCTATGATGTTCAAATTGCTAGATGGGGTTATGTTTGGAACTCTTGCGTTTTAGTTCTCAATTCCCATGAGGAGATGCTGGATTTGTGGAGCAAAAAGGAAGAGGTTTTAAAACAGTGGTTTGAACGAGTGGAACCTTTACTGAATGAGGCCGGAGTTCCCATGGCCTTCTGCATGGCAGAATTAATAGGGGTTCCTTTGTTATGCTGGAATGAATCTTTCTTCGAGAAAATGGCTGGGAGATGGGGCAAAGTGGTAGGTATTCATGAGAGTACAAGGAAAAGAGAAGACCTTACAATGGCAAGAATTTTATTGAGGGTGGAAAGCCCCTTTGATGTTCCAGAGGTGATCACTCTTGGATCTTATGGAAGATCATTCAAAGTAAGTATTAAGATTGGATCAGCAAGTGAGTATTCAAGTTCGTTTTTCAGTAATTTTCCGGTGGAGGATTCCGATGAGGCATTTTCTGAAGAAATTAGGTCTGAGGAGGATGTAGACAGGTTGTTGTCAGATCATGGGGAAGGGGAGGCATGTGCAGCAAGGAAAAATCGTCTGTCAGTGGACAATTGGATTGAGCAGGGTGTGTTCAGTGGTTCTGGAGGAGTTAGTGAGAATAGACAGCTAGCAAGGCTTCCCTTAGATAGGAAAGGTATTAAATGTAGTCTGCCAGAAAGTCAAAAGGTTGGGAGTTTAAAAGTTGGTGAGTTTGCAGGTTTGGGGATTAGAAGTCAACATTATTCGGCTGATGGGTCTCAGGCCCATTCTGAAGACTCTGGGCAGTCTGGGTCAAAAGATTTTTCGGGTTTCATTTCTGGGCCAGCATATATAGTTAATAAGTGTGGGGATTTTGTGGAGAACCTTAATTTAGCAGAAAAAAACAGGAAAACGTTTAGAGTATTGGAGAAGAGCCCAATTACAGAGAAGGTGGTTAATGCAGAAATAGAGGCTGAAGAAGAAAGTTTAAGGTTGGTTGAACCGGTTACAACTAATTTAGGAAACATCTCAAGGGGGAGACAGTTACACCGTTCTAGAAGAAAGGTCTCAACTGAGAGTGAGGTGCTGGAAACTAGAAGTTTGAGCAGTTGCAAAAGGGTCTATAGCAGGTCGAGGGAAAGAAGATATTGGTATGGAGATTTGTTGAACTTTACGAATGAAATAGATGGCACCAAGGTTGGGCAGAGGAAGTTGGATGTGGACTCCAGCACTGCAAAACAGATTTGTTTTTCAACAGAGCTCATTGCTGATGGGAGTCTTCTTCCTAGCTTTGTTAATGGTCTTGGGGATGGGACCGTAGAGCGGGAGATTGAAGGTTACTGTTCTGAAGGTGAATGCTTAAGACCCAAATCTGGTTTGTTAATTAGAAGGAAGAGGAGAGCTAGAAGGATCCTGTTTCGAGAAGCTCTTGACCAGGTGAGCATTGATACAGCATCCTCCTCAGCTTTCTCGAGTTTATTGAAAGAAGCTGTAGAAACTTGGGAGGTTAGTAAGCTTTTGGGAGTATCTTTTAAGGAAGGGAAAGAAGCATTTTTGGAAAAAATCATAGCTCTAGAGAAAGGCTTGATTGGGATTAATCAAGGTTTGGTTGATTGAGGGTTTTGTTTGTACCTTGTTCCCTTTATGAAGATGTCAAAGTTAGTAATATGTTCATGGAATGTTAGGGGTCTGGGGAAAAATGAAAAAAAGAGGGTTGTTCAGAATTTAGTCACTAGCTTAAATCCTACTTTCCTTTGGTTGCAAGAAACTAAGACTGAAAATTTAAGAGGTCTTTCTTTAGGAGAAGTGGGATTAATAAGCTTAAAGGAGTTTTGGAATCTCCTTCAGTTGGATCAGCGGGGGGCCTGTTGTGTTGTTGGGATGACAATATCTTTGAGTTGGAGAGTCAGTTTATTAGTAGGAGATTTATAGCTACCTTTGGTAAATTTCGGAATAAAAACTTCAGTTGTGGTTTCATCAATGTATACGGTCCAGCAGTGGAGGAAGAAAAAGCTGGTTTTTTTGAAGAATTAAGCAGTTTTCTTAGTGGACAGAATTTTCCCGTTTGTGTGGGAGGGGACTTCAATGTTTATTTACAAGAAAATGAGAAGATGGGCAGAGGCCAAAGTAGGAGCTCAATGGAGATCTTTAATGACTTCATTCTTCATACGGGCTTAATTGATCTTCCTATGAATGGGGGAAGGTTCACTTGGTGTAATAACCAAGAGAATCCCACGTTTGTAAGATTAGATCGTTTTTTGGTTGACAGTCAATTTCTAGCGTTATTTCCGGACATTTTACAGTCTCTTCTACCAAGATCATTGTCAGATCACAATGCCATAATTCTTGTGAATAAAGGAGTGGACTGGGGTCAAAAACCGTTTAGAATGTTCAACTATTTGATGGATGAGGAGGGTTTTGAGGATATGGTTATTTCTTCTATTTAGAGTTCTAAGAAAAGTCAGAAGAAGGCAGGTGCTTTTAGTCTTTTAAGGAGTGCCAAACATGCAATTAAAAAGTGGTCTGGAAACAGAGATAAGTATCCAGGAGACTTGATTTCTGAGTTAGATAAGAAAATTTCGAAGATAGAGGCTGATATTCAACAAAAGCAGGGTGTTGTCGATAGTGAGGTATTAACTGAGTTGAATAATTGTAGAGCAGAATTGTGGAAGCTGCACAAGATCCAAGAGCAGATTTGGTTTCAGTATTCGAGATCTAAATGGATTGAAGACGGGGATCGCAACACTAAATACTTCCATACCTGTGCTACGGTTAGGAAGAAGAGGAATGCACTGGTGGCACTTAATTTTAGAGGAGAAATAGTTAAAGACCCAATTGCTATTAAGGACATTGTGAAGGATTATTTTTTTAAGATCTACAATAACCGATCTACTCTAGAAATTGTTGAATTAAATCTGGATTTTTCCAGAATTTCTTTGGAGCAGAATCAGTTCTTAGAGCAGGAATTTTCAGAGGATGAAGTTTGGGATGTTGTGAAGTCTTGTGGAAGTAACAAAGCTCCGGGTCCTGATGGCTTTAATATGGGTTTTTTCAAGAGGTTTTGGCAGGTCCTTAAGGAAGATATTATGATCTTCTTTAAGAAGTTTTACTTGGGGAAGGATTGGGAACATGGAATAAATCACACTTTCATCACTCTTATTCCGAAAATTTCAAACATTGGCGGTTTGGACGATTTTAGACCTATTAGCTTAGTTGGTGGTTTGTACAAGATCCTCTCTAAATGTCTGTCAAGGAGACTTAGGAGCTGCATTTCAGATTTGATCAGTCCATGTCAATTCGCTTTTATTCCCGGTCGACAAATCTTGGATTGTTCCCTTATAGCCAATGAAGGGATTGACTTTTAGAAGAAGAATGGTTTAAAAGGATGTGTTTTTAAAGCTGATTTCAAGAAGGCATATGATACTCTTGACTGGCCTATTTTGTTCAGAATTATGAAGGAAATGGGATTTGGTTCTAGATGGATAGGGTGGATTTCAAAGTGCATCACTTCAGCAACTGTTTCAGTCTTGGTGAATGGGGTTCCAACCGAGGAAATCCCAATGGCTAAGGGTCTTCGTCAAGGCTGTTCTTTGTCTCCGTTGTTGTTTAATATAGTTGGGGAACTATTGAATTTATTGATACTTAAAGCTGTTTCAGGGGGTCTCTTTTCGAGTTTGATGATTAGAAATGAAGAGAAGAATTTTAATTTAACACATCTACAATTTGCTGACGACCTTATAATTTTCTGTGGTGCGTCGAAAAAACAGATCTTGAATATGAAGAGGGTGCTTCGAGTGTTTGAGATTATTTCTGGACTTCAGTTGAACTTGAAGAAGTGCAAATTGTTTGGGGTGAATTTAAGGGAAGAGGAAATTAAGGATTGGGCAGCTACGATTGGATGTTCAGTGGGTTATTTTCCCTCTGAATATTTGGGACTCCCTCTTGGTCCACACAGGAACTCTAACATTCTGTGGGATCCAGTGGTTCAAAGCTTCAATAAGAGGTTAGCAGGCTGGAAAGGCTCTTCTTTGTCACTGGCGGGCAGGCTGGTTTTGATTAAATCAGTCCTATGTTCACTTCCTATATACTATTTGTCATTATTTAAGGTTCCAACTTCAGTATACAAGACCCTAAACTCTATTATGTCAAATTTTTTATGGGGTGGAGGAGGTGGGAGGAAGAAAATCCATTGGGTAAGCTGGTCCAGCGTTTGTAAACCAAAAATTGAAGGAGGCTTGGGAGTTCCTAATATAAATACGATGAATAGGGCTTTACTAGAAAAGTGGGCTTGGAGGTTTGCTATTGAGAGGAAGGCAATTTGGAGGGAAATGATTTGCACTAAATACAAAATGGATTCTTCATTGATGCAGCTTGATAGTAAGGTTTCTCCTAAATTTTCTTGGATATGGAGATCTTTGGTGAATAATCATTTTAAAGCTGATTCGATGGGCTGTAGTATCAGAAGCAATTATAGCTACAAAATTGGCAATGGGAGGAATATTCGGTTTTGGCAAGACAATTGGGCATTGGATCATCCTTTGATGGTCATGTTCCCTAGACTATTCTCTATTGCAGTGAACAAAACTGGAAGATTATTTCAGTTTGGGGATTACAGTTCTGGGGGCTGGTTTTGGAACGTCCAGTTGAGAAGGGAGTTGAATGACTGGGAATTTGAACAATGGTCAAACTTGATGGTTGTTATTTCAGATTTTTCTGTTTCTACTGATGCTGTTGATGGACTGTTGTGGAAGGGGAATGGAGAAGGGGTTTTCAATGTTAAATCATGTGCCAATCTATATTATTCGGGTATTTCTGATTTGGAGGAAGCTAATTTTTGGAAATCTATTGTTTGGAGGGGCCTGCTGCCTCCAAGAGTGGAGACTTTTCTTTGGCAAGTTATCTTAAAGAAGCTGGCAGTGAAGACAGCTCTGGTTAAGAGAGGTGTTCAGGGCATAAATGATTCTATGTGTCCTTTTTGTAATCTAGAAGAAGAGTCTTCATCTCATCTATTTTTTTCCTGTTCGGTTGTTTGGCCAATATGAACTAAATTCATGGGTTATTGGAATTTTCAGTTTGTTTTTCATGAAGATGCAAAAAAATTCCTAGTAGCATGGACTAACTTAAAGACCAACTCTCTGATGTGGTCATTTATCCCTGGAGTGGTCTTATGGACAATATGGAAAACTAGGAATTATATAGTGTTTGAAGGAGGGAAGTTTGATCGAGCAGAAATATTCTATCTAGCTAGGTGCAGGCTTGCTTCATGGTTTCTAGCTAGGGAAACTCATATTTCTATTTCCAAGGATGCTCTTATTGCCGACCCGTCCTTAGTGGATTCTTGCTCATCTCATACTAATCGGATTTCAACTAAGGTTCCTTGGTCCCCTCCTCCAAAGGGTTTTATTAAACTTAATGTGGATGCGGCTACTTCTAGTGATTGGAAGAGGAGTGGTTTAGGTGGTGTTCTGAAAGATAGTTCTGGTTGATTCTTGGCTCCTTCAAAGATCCTGCTGGTTCGGGACCTCCAACTTTGATGGAATTGAAAGCTATCCTAAAGGGGTTATTTTATTATGAATCTATTCGCCATAGATTTAAAGAGAGATTGATTATCGAGAGTGATAGTAAGGTGGCAATTGGTTGGGTCAAGGATGTTGGTTCTTGTCCTGTCGTTTATGTTCAAGTTGTTAAGGAAATTATTCAAAAGCTTAGTGTTTATAAAGGTCTTATTAGATGGGTTAGTAGAACAGCCAATATAGAGGCGGATGTTCTAGTTAAGGCTGGTATTGGTTGAGTATTATGTTCTGTTAAGGGCTGGTTCTTGTTGGCTTTTTATCTCTGGAGGGAGATTAGACTTTGTATTACTTTGTAATGTTTTAAGATTAATGAACTCCTAGGGCACTCTTTTCCTCCTTCCGCTGATTAAGGAACTATTTTCAAGTTCCGTTAATCATGAAGGGGGTTTTTAGTGAGGCCTACTATTCCTATCAAAAAAAAAAGAATCTTTGTCTAACTTCAACATCAAACATATCCTCATGTTGTTTCCATACATTGATCACCACAACAGACGTCATAACAGTTTCTCATGTCAAGTCAATGCATGTGTCTGTTTATGTGCATGTGCAAAGGTTTCCAGCTGCAGGCCAGTCCCCAGCCCAGTGACACCACTAATGTTCAGTCATGGATGTATAAACTTTATGTTTATATATTTGAGAAAAGAGGTGATAAAGAACCTTGTAGTCATACAGATCACTGCCTGCATACCCACTGCTTTCACTTGATTTCCTTCTGAGCACACGTTCAGGATCGTCATCTGTGTCTGGATTGGCTTCATTTTCTACATCATGGTAGCCATTGTCTTTCATATCTGGATTTTCCTCATCAGTGGAATCTTCGCTGGCACTATTTTCAATCCGAGAACCGGCTGAAATAGAACATCTTTGTAGATTTTCATCCTGAAACAACACAATCATCACCATAAATAGCACTATACGAAAGGAGACCGCAAGCATTGGCCTCTGCTTATGCAAAGGAAGACAAACTTTTTAAAAAACTAGAATTATGAAAAATAAAGCTTCACTGTCATTATAGATATTAGAAGGGGGAGACAGATTGGAATTGCTCAATAATAAGGCATAAATGACATTATCATCACACTCAAAGCAGCTCTGATAGCTGATTACTAAATTCATCCAAATCAAAACAGATGTAAATCAATTTTAAGCTGAATTAATATTTATAGATAAATGTTATAATTTCAAGAATCCTAAGTTAATATAACATCTTCATGACATGCCATTTGAATACAAACTTCGGTATGAATAAAAATGTTTTTTTACGAAAGATACATTCAGTTTTACCATGTCTCATCATAACAAATCATAGAGATATCATCTAGACAGATACACCATATCAAGCAACAATGAAGGTGGGAGCATCTTACATCAAAAATATTCTCATATTCCTCCAAAAGAGTTGTAATGATGGCTTGAGCATTATTAGCAGCATTTGCAGCAGCAAGAAGCTGGGCCGAATTATCACCGTTGACATCAAAATCATCCTCCAATTCACATTCACCAGCTAATAAGGGGCGTAAAAGCAGGGGTGCCATGCAAGCAGCCACAGCAGATGCAGTCATTCGATTCACATGAGAATGAGATGAGATTGTATGCATCGTCTTAAGAATCCTACAAAACATGATGCATATCGAGTTATACAAATCAATAAATATTAATAAGATTCCTATCAAAAATAAATAAATATTAATAAGATATTCCACGTTTATTCCAGAGCACAACCAAATAAGATATCTAGATAGCTAATGGTATTCTTAGCAATGAATCACAACTTAGCACAACCATTTAAGTTTACCTTTGCAATAGGCGCCGGTTTGGTTCAGGAAATGTCTCTAATATAGCAGAGCGCAATGCATTTATTCGAGCTTTCTTCTGATCAATTTCTTATCAAATATAAACATAAATCAGTATCAGTTTATATAGACACGTGAAACAATTATTTTGCTAAAATGCAAAATAATTTTAGAAGATAAAAATAAAAAGAACGTGAAAATAATTAAACTGTTGGGACAGAAGCATGTATGTGAAGAATCATAACTTCATAAAACAAGGTTTTTTAAATACACACGCACGCATATAATGCAGCAGATTTTCACAGAAGCATGTATATTGAGGGTTTATAAAAACAATCCTCTAAAAGTTTAAAGATGTATTGTCCAAATTCAACATGAGACAAACTTGGGAAAACATGGGAAATAGAAAGAAAATAGTTAAACATACTGTAAGCCTCCAGCAATGCAGTACAGCAGGATGCAGAAACTGGAGATGAGGGCAGCTCTCTTAGAACATGCTGTAAATCAAACATCGTGACTGATTAAGGAACACTAACCTGAAAATTATAAATGGCTTAATGTACTAATAAAACTACCTTAACACAGTCTCCCACAACATGAGCATCCTCATCAGAATCAAATTCAGTCTTGCCTACCATTAGGAAAAGGAAAACAATTACACAGCTTAATTTTGGATGGCATGCTACATCATAACTCACCCGCCAGTTAGGAAATCCAAGTCAGCAAATATGTGGATATTCTAAAATAATCATCAATTAGAAATGAAAAAATACCTTGGTCATATTCTTGAATTCTACAGTCAACCTCCTCAACATCGGCAGACTGGCGTAGAATTCCTTCCACTTTAGTTCCTGCAGTAG